ATTTTTTAATTAAAATATAAAGTAAAAAAATTAATATATTTAAAATAATTTTTTATAAAAAATGTGTAAAAAAAAGAAAAAAGAAAAAAAAAGAAGTCTTGTAACTTTTTGATATATATTATAAATTATTTAAATAATTTTTTAACTTATAAATTAAAACTGTTACATGTTAAAGTAGACTTAAGATTTTTGCCCTCGACTAATTCTTTAGAATTAATATTGTTTTAATCATTATCTTTGCAGTTTAAACCAATCCGAACAGGGAGAAAGGTTTCATTCTCATACCTGCTGCTGGCCCCTGTCCCCAAACTACATTTTTATTACATAAGAATCACAAGTCCAAAAAACAAGAAATTCCAAGATCAGAAATTCAGCCCTACAGTTTAATGTTTATCTCTTTTCTAAGCAACCTTAAAAGCCCAAACTAGTAACATTGAAAAAGATGGCTCAAGAGACCCTTCTGCTTATACCTGATTGTCCACCCATTTGGATTTTCTAGGTGAGGGTCACACCTCAAGCTTCTCTCTCTCATGGAGGAGTCTGCAGGATCGACAGATGTAGATGGGTATATTATTTGTGACTATAAACATGAAAACCTACTTGCATTATTGAATACCTTATACCAAGTGAGTGGCTGATTAGTGGAGATTCTGGTTTTACTCCAATCCACGTTACTTAGATTTTGTTCATCATATATGTGCAACTTCTCTCCCAAAAGCCCAACCTGAAATGACAAGTCAATTTTGATGATGCTTGAGAACAAAATTTTGGAAGAGCTTCGACTTTGATACATGAATTGTTCTACATAGAATAGAAGAGTTTTTGTGTTTTTTTTTTCCATCGGCTACATAGAATAGAAGAGTTTACTTGATATCCACATTCATGGTCGGTAAAATTGTAAACTTCTTCAGAGCATCGAATCTCCACACTCGTCAATCCAGCAAATCTTTTCTCGAGAAAAGGTCCCGAGTCCTTGAAATAATAGTCAAAGACAATTGTCAGTTAATACTTGAGAGAAGAGGAGAAGAAGTTTAATATGGCAAAAATGGTGGAAATAAATACATCCACACGAACTATATTACCGGCAATCCAACCATTACACTTAGTACTGATATATTGCTTATGTCATTATTTAACAATATTGAGTTCTCAAAAGTTAATCCCTTGACATCATGGCTTCCATGTGCAGTTCCTGAAAATAACATAAACATAGCTTTTAGTTGTGAAGGATTAAATATGCCTAGTCAAGATCAAGAATTACAACTTCATGGAGCTAAACTGGAGTTACTAATTTTTTGGGAGGTTAATGTAATTATCGCAAAACTGTGGGGCTTGTATTTTCTCCAAACCTCAAGTGAGGTCAGTGTAAATTATCCATTTTATTTCTATGGTTTTATTCTCCAGATCATGATCATTCCGCTGAAATGAATAGAAGATATAAAAAATCTAGAAGTATTATGTTCTTTTCATAAATTCCATAAACAGGCATAAACATGACTTACCAAAATACATTTTGTTGGCAAAAACATGAACAACATGTCCAAGAGATTCGATATGTAGTAATGGCTTGGTGCATGTTGAGTTTTGTTGAAACCTATGTACAACACAATTAAATGAAGTGTATGATTTCATTACCCAAACCAACCTATTATTTCAATCGCATTTTTACATGTTTCCAAAGAGATGACAATACCTGAAGGTATACCAAAGATAATCAGATTCATCTTTGGTCATATTCATATGCTCTAGCAATGTATTTGATTTTATTGAGGTATCTGAAAAGTTTGGGATGACATCTTCGAATTCTTCCCATCTCTCTGCAGAATCAAATAATTCGATCGATGTTGTCATTCTCTCATTATGCTCTGTTTTCACCTATGCATGACAAAACAAAGAGTGAAAAACCTTTGTGGACTTTGCACTGGAGTTCCATTAGATTCTCTTGATGTTAATTTGTGTTAACAACTATATATCATGAGAGTCACATGAATTATGGTGTGAGGGTCAGCAAGAAAAGGCGGTATCTTATGTAACGGGCACACTATAGTGATCTACCCGTTGCACATATACAAGTCCAACAAGGAATGGGCAGACTAGCTCTACAGAGATATCCTAGTAGAATTGCATATGTGCCTTGGAGTGCTATGCAAAGCCTGAAAGTAATGCAAGTGGGAAAATGGAGAATTTTAATTGTGCATATTATTATAAGCTTTCACTAATGAAGAAGACCTTATATTTTAGTAGGAAGTTAATCTTTTAGAGTACCTAATTTATCTACAAATGCATTTATGTATGTGAGGATTTAAAATTTATGAAAAAGGATATCATTATCATCTCCACAGTGATCCCATTCATGTACTCTGTTTGAGCTGCATCAAAATTTATAGTGGATTGGTTGTTTATGTGAAACGAAGTCCCAAATCATTTGAGTACTAAATTAATATGTAGTAAATAAGCGTGAAGGCACTCTCACCTCAATAGCTAGTTTTTGGGGTTAAGTTCTACGGGGTGGACAAACATCACGTCGGGTCAGGCCAGGTTCAGGCCAGGCCAACACTAATAAGAGACTTTGTGTCTGTCCAAACCTGGCCCGACCCTAACATCAGGCCTCTATATCTGCCTAAGTCCGATCCAAAAAATAATTACAAATCTCAAACTCACTCATCAAATTATATGTTAAAAAAAAAAATTAAAACATTTCATAATTAAATTCAATCACAAATTATATTTCTTAAATAAATATATTAATAGCATTATAAATTGAAAAATTTTGTGTATAAATTGAAGGATTTCTTAAATAAATTCAATCACACATCACCACAAATGTGAGTTTCAATAAAATTAACAAAGATAAATTCTAGACCTCAATTTTTTTTTAATGTATTATAAATAAATAAATAATGGGTCAGGCCAGGCCAGGTTAAAAATATAAATCCCAAGCCCAGCCTATTAATATTTCATATTGAAAATATTGGCCTAGACTGGCCTTATGGGCTAAAATAACCTTCCCAAGCCCTAGAAAAATTGGGCAGGGCTGGGCTGAGCGGGTCAACGGGCCAATGTCCCACCCCACTGTATAACATGGTATCAAAGCCCGAGTACTAGGGATGGGTAGGGTGTGTGTCCCTTGGCTTGCACGCCGCAGGTGTTGCCGAGTGAGCACACTGGGCGTGAGTGAGGGTATGAAGCAAGTCCCACATTGTTTGAGTACTAAAGTAATATGTAGTAGATAAGCGTGAGAGCACCCTCCCCTCAATGGGTAACTTTTGGAGTTGAGTTCTGTTGAAGACCATGTAACAATTTACGCTTGTACTTGAGAGAAGAAAGTATTAGCCGGTGTATCTCATGCTTTGTTCTTCTTTTCGTTACAAGTTAGAATATCATACATACAGCTATACAAAGCATGCATAATTGGTACATGGAATAAAAATACAGAAGCAAGGCAGCCCCAAAATAAGCATTTTTCCAGTTCAAAGCATGGCCAAACAGCAAACACAAATAAGGCAAAAATAGCATGCAAAAATGGCCCTAAATTTGAGATAATGAAGCAACTCACAGCTGCTGACTCCAAACAGGTTAGGGCCCTTTAACAACATTGAAGAGGGGCCAAAAATAAGCCACTTTACGGAACTGTAAAAACCTCAAAAACAAACAAAGATATGGCTAAGCTCTTATGCAAGAAATGGGCCAAAAGATGGCCAAAGCACAAAGTATGCTAAATATCAATCAAACAGCCAAAGGCCCTTAATGAAACATGAATAATGGGCCAAAATAAGACTATCTTCAGTTCTGTAAAATGACCAAAAATGGAAGCATAATGGGCTGCCAAAGCATGCAAGAATGGGACCCAAAAGAGAATATAAAGGCAAGTATAGCATGGAAGTCCCAAACAGTGTTGAGCCCTTCTTCAATGTTTAAGAGGGGCCCAAAATAAGACTATTTTTAGTTCTGTAAAACGCCCAAAAATGGAAGCATAATGGGCTGCCAAAGCATGCAAGAAAATAGCATTCAAGAAAGATATTGAAGCAAGTGCAAGATGGGGTGCTCAAACAGGGTTAAGCCCTTAAGAAAAAGTGAAAAAGAGCTCAAAAGAAGGCCACTTTCAGTTAGGGCTGGAGCTCAAAACAGTAAGCATATATGGCTAAGAAATGTTGCAAAAATAAGCTCAAAAAGGGGGAAATGGCAACTCACCCTTGTAGACCAATCTTTGGTTGCTTCTTGGACCAAGTTGCAGCACCTTTAGCCTCTGAGAAGCCCTCCTTGCTGCTGGAAATGGAGTGGTGGTGGTGGTGCTTGGTGGTGATGAAGGAATGGGGTAGAACTTAGGAGTTTTTGAGAAAAATGAGAGAGATAAAGGGAGATTTGGATGCCTATGCTTGAAGCAATTTTTTCTAACCCCTAAAACAAATGTTGGCAACTGGTTATAAGGACCAAGGAGAGGGGGAGCATGGAGGGAAAGGGTGGGGGAAAATGACCAAAGCTTTTCCCCAAAAGGTGTCCCCCGGATTTAGATATTTCTGGGGGACAACAGCTATACAACTGTAAAATTCATATTGCAAGGATCAAGGCCGGCCACCTTTTGGAGTTGCAGGTGGCCAGCCGGCCACCCCCCCTAGCCGGCCGGCTAGGGGTCAAAAAGGTCAAGTTCATTTAGTGGCCGGCCACCACGTAAAGATGTCCTCCCAGGTCCCCTCATCACAACCCTGTGGTTCGAATTTGGAAATTGTAAAACAGGAGAGAGAATAGGCCATTTCTAGGAGGGGGTCAAAAGGGTCAGGTGGAATTACTGGCCGGCCACAAACTTTTAGGGTCCTCCCATGTGTGTACAACACAAATATGTGGTTTGGGGTTGAAGAAAGTGGCCCCAAGGTGTTCAACATTGGCTCGGAAGTGAGAAAAACGGGCGCCGGAGGGCGAAAATGGAATATAACTGGTTGCTAGGATAATTGCTGGCCTCCCACCCTCCAGTGACCTTCCTGGTGATGAAACAGAGGCACCTGCCAAAAATGAACGAAAACCGATGCAAAACGAATGCTCGGGGGTCAAAACACGAAGTTCGGGGTCCCAGAAATGGGCTGCCAAGCACCGAAAGTGGCGTTCGGCCATGAAGTGGGTCTCTCAGACCCCAGTGTCCCTTGAAAGGGAGTAAATAGGATGCATGCCAAAAATTGGAGCGAACGGAGATGGTTAAGCGGTCCCGAACCGAGGCACACGGCCAACGGTTCCGAAGAACCGGAAACCGGGCTCCGAAATGTGCATAAATGGCCTACAGCCACAAAACGTAGCCTACGGCCACTGAGAGATGGTCTACAAGACCTCTCCCTTCCCTCAGGAAAAGAAACAGAGAAAACCGAGTCTGGTTCGCAAACCGAGACAAGGCACAGAAGAGGATTCAGAAGTCCGGAGGCAGGGCTCACGGCCACGACTTTGAAACTTCTGAACGAGCACATTATGCAATATCACCAAGCGCTCAATCGGTGACGTCTGAGTTTTAAGGTCGGTCAAAAATGGGGTGTCTACACTCAGTCTTATGCAGTGTTGAAGGCAGCACATGTGGCTAAGTTCATCTGAAACAACATCATTTGCCGTTATGGAGTCCCAAACGAAATTATTTCAGATAATGGCTCCCATTTCAAGAAAGAAGTGACCGACTTGTTGGAGAAATACAATGTGACTTTCCATAAGTCATCTACATACCGGCTGCAAACTAATGGAGCTGTTGAAGCTGCCAATAAGAACATCAAGCATATTTTGCAGAAAATGGTTGAGACCTACAGGGACTGGCTAGATAAATTTCCATTTGTGCTCTAGGGCTATATAACTTTGATCCGGATGTCTACTGGGGCAACTCCTTACTCTCTTGTTTATGGGATGGAAGCTGTTCTGCCGATCGAAATAGAAGTTCCGTCGCTGTGGGTTATGGCTGAATGTCAAATAGCAGAGGCAAACTAACAGCAAAGCAGGTTCAAAGAACTGATGCTCTTTGATGAGAGAAGGCTGAAAGCATTGTACCATGTTCAGGGTTATCAACACAAGATTGTCAAGGCTTTAAACAAGAAAGTTAAGTCCAGGAATCTCAAAGAAGGGGATTTGGTGTTGAAAGATAACCGAGCTCTCATCCATGACCCTAGGGGCAAGTTCAGACCCAATTAGACTGGTTCTTACATCATCAAAACTATCTGGTCAGGTGGAGCTATTATTCTCATGGACCTGGATGGCCTAGAATTTTCCCAACCGATCAACATGTATAAGTTGAAGAAATACTATCCCTGAGAGGCTCGCTAGGCCAAAAATCCGAAAGGGCAATCTAGGCAAAGTTAGAGCATAAAAAAATTGAAAATAAAGAAAAACTGAGCTCGCAAGGTTGAAAACCCTAGAGGGCGGCCTTGGCAAAAGTTAGAGCACAAAAGGAGAGCGTTAATACTTAAGTGAACCCAAACCGAACAATGTAAGGCTTGATTCCCATCTTTGGGATACGTAGGCAACTTCATCCTGAAGTTCGATCATAAACACCTCCAACACAACTGTCCTGTCCATGTGTTGATCAGGTCATCTTTGTCTATCCTTTATTTGAATGTTCGGTTATGATCATCTCTGAGAATTGGTTATAGTGCTGGGTTTGTACATCTCGAGGATAGATTCTGTGCGTTTCAAGTTGTGATCCTTATTGAAAATAGTTTTGAAAAGTTTTGATAAAAGTTGATTTTTGCTCAAATTTACCTTTTACAACTTAGACAATTTTTGGACCAAAAGGAAAATTTTCAGTACTCACAACTTCAATTTTTGGACCAACAGGAAAATTTTCAGTGCTCACAACTTCAATTTCATTGATTTCAATACAAAGTTCTCCAACTCTCAATTCAAATCAAAGCTGTTTTTTATTACATGCATAAAACTTGAAAAGTAAGATCAAAGCAAAAACTTGGGGCATGGATGAGTCAGGTGCTCCTGCATCCCCTGCTTGTGCTTATGGAAGCTTCTGATGCTAAAGTAGGCCCAGATTGTGCCTCATCTTCGAGCCAAGTCAGGCACTAACCAGAAAGTGCACCGCTGAAACTATGGGCAGGAGCCAGAAGCTCTCTCTTCCTCCAAGCAGTGAAGTACCTAGCCAAATGTGAACCTTAGATGGGGAATGAAACTGGGTACTCTACCCCACCCTCTGGGCAAGTCTAATCATGTCCAAATTGACGCCTGAACCGGAACAGAAAGTAGAATACAAAGTGTGTCAAGCCAATCAGCTGAATGCCAAGTTGTCGAGCCATGCTATAGCTCATTTCGGTCAGATTAAGCCAGGGGCAATGCCAAGTAATGTCAGCAATAGACCTGATGTATATCCAATGGCACCACCATCCTTGATTCGAGAAATCTACTAACTATTGGTGGAAAAAGTATGCCCGGGTTGAGTTTACGGGGCAAAAGTCCACTACCTTCAGCTTGTCCATATGCCATATCTGGGGATCAGATTAAAGAATAGAGAGGTGTACGTTGAGAGAAAAATGAGAAAAGGGCTTTTGAGAGAAAAACAAAGCATGAGTGCCGAGAGATGTGAGAAACGCATACTAGAAATGGTGGGAAATATTACCTGAAGAAGTAGTGGACTCCCCATGAATTTGGTTGTCTCTCACTGATGGAATGTGTCTAAGCCCATCAAACTCTCGGCCAGCACCAAGCCAATGCAATGTAATTCTTTCCCTCTTTCAAACCTTGGGCCACTTCAATGAGTCGAATGCTAGATCCTC